ATTTTTTTAAATTATTATTATTTTTTTAATTATTATTATTATTTTATTTTTTATTTTTTATTTTTTTTAATTAAATAAATCAGTGGGTGAAGCACTAAGCCACCTGGCTCCTGTTCTTTGATCCGTTTGCAGTCATCGTTATTACGATTTCGTGAGTTATTAAATTCATCGCTGGCACTAAACCCCCTAAAAGTCGTCCATTGCTTCAGGGCAAAGGTGAAGAGTTGATGAGGGAAAACAACAGCCGAAGTGATGAATTGAGGGGTCACAGTTGATGTATCAATACAGACTGAAGTGATGAGTTGAGGGGTCACAGTTGACGTAGCAATACGTCACTGATATTAAGCTGGCGTGCTTTCTGAGCATGCCAGCTTAATGGCTATGTGGGCCTACGGACCTCTAACACCAATAATCTGGTTGACCAGGTGGTTAAAAAGGAAAACCTAGACCTAGGCCGGTCTGTGAGAGGCAAACGACCCCTTGAAACCGGTCACAGGTATGTCAAAGGTCTAGCTGATCTTCCTTGCTGAATAGTGCTAGGCACACATCAGGAATGAATAGTAAACAGTGAAATAAGAGGCGGCTACAGTGAAAAAACTGTTCTGCAAGATACAGTACTCATTCCCATCCTTTTCCTCATCCTCATATACATGTATGACATAGAGATGTAAGCCACAGCACCGTGTCCTTTGCTGCTGATGATGATGATGATACCCGAACTTGCATGACAGTGTCATCCACTGAGGAGAGAGGGTACCTAGCTCCCTTGCAGTGCTCCTCTTTCTTAGTATTTGACTGGCTCCTCCTCTTACTACCCCCCACTACTACTTCCTTCCTCCTCCACTACCACCACCACTACTGCTACCACTACTACCACCTCCTGCCTATATATACCCTTCCCGCACCACTATCACGGGTTTTAATCCAAACTCCTCCGACATTAACTTTGCTATGACGAAACCATTTAATCATGTTTAAAGTGATTCAGTTCAACGTACGTTCTTACTTTACTATTAGACACCTACTGGCCGAGCTCCTTGAAGCAGAGAGACCAGATATTGTTTTGCTAAACAGTACCTGCCTCAAAGCCCCTCAACGTATCCGCCATTATGGTTATACTGCACTACAGTCCCCCTATGATCCCCACGATGGGGTTGCCATCCTTGTCAAATCCAACGTAAAACACGAATCCTCCCAATCCCTTTTATTCACCAAACACTGTCTTGCATCAGAATACACACCCACCTTGGCCCCTTTATCTTTTCACCACCTATGCTCGCCCAAACACATTCTCAACATACACGACCTTTCCTTAGTCTTCAACTACACCAACACACCAACATACCTACTGCTGACATGAATGCCAAACACACCGCCTTTCTTTCACACCAGTAAAAACCAACTTGGTCACCAATTACTCAACTTCACTAACCATAAACACCTAATTCATCTCGGCCCAGACTTCATACTTCTTCAATCACACGGCCAAGGCAAACCAGACATCATTCTGGAAAAACCGAGCCAGTTTCTATTTCAACACAAACATCTCACCTGGCCTATTACAGGCTTTTGATCACATCCCAGTCATCTTGCACATCTCCTCCAACCCTATCCTCATTTCCAACCACACCTTCCTTCTCCTACAAGAACGCTGACTGGGATGCTTTCAAACAACACATAGACAATATTAACCTCACCTATGACTATAACAACAAACCTATCTCTGACATCGATACTCAACTTGATCTCATCCAGGACACCATTACACAAGCAGCCAACAACCCCAATACCAAAGAAAACTCACACCACTCGTTTTTCCTTCAAACCGTCACTCAGAAAAAGAAGACTAATTATTGCTACCACAACCGTTTCCCCCTTACAACACACACAGATTTAATCAAGTTCGCTTAGATCTCACTTACCTTAGAAACAACATTATACACAAGTCTAGACCAAGACCACAACAATCACTGGTCACAACTCATACAGCAAGCTGAAAAACAGCGTA